TTGATTTTTATTAAATATCACAAGTTAATTAAGTGGGTTTTTTTTGTTTTCTTTTAGTAAACTAAATAAAAAAGTAGACTTTTTAGTAAATAGCTAAGAAGTCCGTAGTTATTACTTACGGAAGATTTCCACCAACTTAAACGTGGGTAAAAACACAGATATAAGTGTGTACTACGTGTATATGCGTCTACATACTTGACATGGATATTTATTGTTAAAAACGAACATTTTTTTTTTTTTTGTGTTAAATATCAAGCAACTTAGACAATAATATCTATATATTTTTCAAATGAGTTTGATGAATAAGAATGAGTGAAGCTATCGTACACATTAGCATAGAGGTTCTGCTCAGAAAACACACAAAAGCAAAGGATTCGTTCAATGACTGGTACTAATTACAAGGTTCTGTAAGCAGGCTTACAGACGAAAGGACGAACAGTGTTTCGATATTAAAAGCTCTGTTTATTGCGCACATATCAAACGACGTCAAGCATACTTACACTGTACGATAACATTTGTTGTTGTCTTCGACGTTTCAACAACATTCCTAGCCGGGCAGCTGTACGTCCCGTGTTCTGACCTGCCTAGTTGTCCCAGTGACAACACAGGTGAGACAGTAAAGTTGGTGTTGTCAGGTTTTGTCCAGACAAAGGTACAATCAGGTCTACAGTCAGCAGTACAGGTGATGTCCGGTAATGTGTCCCCCTCAGTCCTGGTGTAAGTGGTGTCAGGTGGGAACAGGGTAACAGTACCAGGAACATCTTCAATAAAAACGTTTTGATTATCCATTTTTTTGGAAGGCCGAAGGACTAGTGCAATTATTCGTAACCCTGAGAATGCAAAACAGGTCTCTTCAATTTGAGTTTTTTTTTTGATAATTGTGTTTTCTGTTATAAATATAATCTTTCATTTGTGTGTACGTCATATTTTAATCATTGGACTTGATCAATAATTTGCCTAAAGGCTGGTGCCATATCACATGATTAAACTCGTTTGATAGATTCAATATGACATGAACACTCGTGTGGGATCTTCTATGTACATGTACACTGTTGGATACTTAATACAATTAGTAGAGGACTTGTATCGCTACCAACTACACAAAATCCTTTTAAAGAAAACCAATGCAACCGTTTACTCTTTATTCAAATACACTGATTAGTCGCGAGTGTCTCTGCAATCATTTCAATTTTAATAACCAGTACATTGTGTACAAGTATGTGTGCGATGTAAAGCATAGACATTGTAAAGCATACCACCGTCTACGGACGATTACGTCATATTTTTTTGGAGAGGTTGAATTTATAGATACATGTTAAAAAAAACACCTCAAACATTGTGTTTTTTTTAAATGATTTTAAGATTCAAAGACATTAGTTAATTTGAGTTTTTTGAAGTAAAACCAATTTTCATGATGTAATACTTTAATACTTACCATCACTTTAGTATGCATATACAATACCTACACCCATCTTTGTAGCTCAAATACAAAAGATTCAAATATCCCTACCTCCCTACCGTGACGTAACCTATATATCGATGACAGAGCCACGGAGTGATCTCCCTTCCTCAAACCCCCTTGTATGGAGCCTAAAGGCAGCCAGGATGAGGAGGCAAGGAGAGGAATACAGAGTGGGACTCCATACAGTTATGGTAAGTATTACATCATGAAAATTGGTTTAACTTCAAAAACCTCAATTTCATTTCAGTAATAATTACCATAACATTAGTATGCGAATTTGTCTTACCGTAGTGGAGGCTTCAAATCCAGGCAGACCAGGCTGACGGAACAAACTCGAGACATGTTCAAGGTAGGGAAAAGGTTCAAGGAACCCCATAATAAAGCCCCGAAAGTAATAAAAAATGGAAACCCTCCCCGTGAAACGAGCAGGTGTACCACCGTGGTGCCTGATAGCATACTATTTAAAATCACTGAATTACTGTGGAGGAACAGCCACAGACTGTGCAACCACCATCAGTCCAAGGGAATTCAATCCATCAGATTGAGAAGCCAAGGACCGGAGATAAAAATCCGTGAAGGTAGTCTGTCCGCGCCAGAAAGCCGCGGACATGACCTCCTGAAAGGGGGACCCATTGAGGAGGGCCCATGACGCATCAAGGGCCCTGATCTCATGAGCTCTCACCTTATACAACGCCCGAACCTGATCATCCGAGTGGTCGTAACTGTACTTGATGACCTTACAGATCCATCTAGACACTGAATGAGAGGAGATATCCTGTTGACCCTGCTTAATGGGCAAAAACAGACGAGATCGAGGACCTCGC